CACTCGGACAGTCTCCTTACTGCAGACCCCGGGAGCCCCCTTTCTGTTGACTCAGGAACTTTCCGAGGGTGAGGACAGTACAGGGAGATAAAGTTTGGCTGGTGTCCATCTTAGCTCTATAATAATTGTGCTTCCTGGGACAAAAGTTGAGAACCATCATAGAGGAAACAGGAAGTCAGAAATCAATCTATGCTTTTAATATGAAACCGTGCCTGAAACAGTTTGAATGATTGTTTTAATGTTTCTGAAATTCCTTATACCTTTGTAATAAAAAAAATTAAAAAAGAAGTAAAAGTGAAAATAGATATGGAATTGTGCAATGGAAAGAATGTAACAAAATAAACATCCGGCTATAGACAGTTTAATACAGACAGTTTAATACACGCAGCTTTTCGCTTCTTGATTTGTTTCACTAATGCCAAGTAAGCAACTACTTTACAGCCAGAAACAGGGCTAGGAAACAGGGCAGGTCCTAACACACAGACCCCCTTCTCTTTGGAAGTGGCTGGGAATATGGAGAAGGGGTCAAGATGAGGGCAGTGCTGGTTGTTCTGCGAGGAGAAGCTGGGGATGCTTCCTAGAGGAGGTGACAGGCCTTAACCCAAAGTTAATAAACAGGAAAGAGAACATTTGGGGAGCTGAATGGAACTCCAAGCAGTGAAAAAAAAAAAAAGAAAAAAGAAAACAAGTCCCCCAGTATGGAATCAAGCAAATGGTCGAGCATCAATATGGCAGGGCCCAAGGGTCTTAAAAACCAAGGACCTTATAAATTTTAGCCTGAGGATAACTGATCTTGGCCAAAAAGCCAAGAAGCGATTCTTTAAATTGTGGAAAGGGGCTCTCCCAGCAAAAAGGCACAAGAGTATAAGGGAAAGAGTGGGTGATGCTCACTGTCCGGAAAGGCCACCCAACTTCGGTCAGGAGGGAAGCCCATTTTCTTCCAGTCACTTAGCCCAGTAGGAGGGAGCCCGGCTTTCCGCGGTGGCCACCTGCGGTCCAGGGCAGGCACAGGAAGTACCCAGCTGGCGGGAGGATGCAGGGAGGCAGAGTCCTGGGCTCCGCCGGATGGTGCCGCAGCTTCGCAGCCGCCCAGCGCCTGCCCAGCCTCCGCCCCGCCCCGGACCCCGCCAGGTTTCGATTCCGTGGGAGCCGCGCGGTTCCGCGCTGCGGGGGTGCGAATGGAGGGCGCTGGGGCGCGGAGCACGACCCCCGGGGGGATCGGCTGTGCCGAGCCCGAGGAGGCGCGCGGCTGGCTTTGCTCGGAACATAGCGACCGCCCTGCGGAGCTCTTCTGTCGCCGCTGCCGCCGATGCGTGTGCGCGCTGTGCCCCGTGCTGGGCGCGCACCGCGGCCACCCGGTGGGCCTGGCGCTGGAGGAGGCGGCCCACGTGCAGGTGGGGAGCGCGGGTGCAGGTGGGGAGCGCGGGTGCAGGTGGGGAGCGCGGGTGCAGGTGGGGAGTGCGCAGCGCGCGGGGAGGGGGCCGAACCCCTGAGTAACGGACAAGGAGAGCGCTTGCCCGAGGTCCCACTGTCAGTTCCCTGTTAAGAGCTGGAAACGTGAAGATGGCCCCAGAGGTCATCGAGGGGATAGACCTAAGAACCGGAGACTGAGGCCCGAGGAAGGGCAAAAGTGATCCAAGGCCACCTGGTCAGCTTCAAAAGAGGTGGGTTTAGGAGTGGGAACTGGGGAGCCCAGGCTGGTACCCAGATGTCCTTGGCCTTGACCACCATGATGGTCCACCCCACTACCGTGGGCTATTAGAAAAGCTACTTTTTAGTTAACAGAAGTGAACCCCATCTACCCACAGATGGCAAACACCCACACAGAAAGCCACCCAACTGTGAATTGTACCATTGCTCTAGAAGTGGCCTCAATGGCCCCTCTACCTCCCTGGGTGTGCCTCTCTTCCCTGTATGCCTTGCAGCTCCACAACCCAAGCCAGCTGTTACTAGTATTAGTCATTTATTAATAACAAAAGGAATGCTCCAGGACCTAGGAACAGACCTTGAATTCAGTCCTCCACCAGCCTATAGCCCCCACCCCAGGGAGATGCTTTTCATCCTGAATCCCTCACTCTGAGGTAACACTGTTAATGGCCAGGGTCTCAGGACTCCTGTGCCAGCCCTGCTCTGGACTTGTTTTGTGGCTCTGGTCAAATCCCTTGTCTCTGGACTCCCTGAAGGTCTGCCTAGCTCTCCAGTCTCTACAGACCTAGATCTACCATGTCCATCCCAAAGAAGTCCTCTGTGAGGAGCCCTGCCCTTCGAGAACTTTTTCCCTACAAGCATGACTTAACACCACCACACTGTGACAATCTTGGCATTCCAAGGTGAAACTGGACCCACTGGGGGGCTGACTGGTGGAGTCCTGGGTTCAAGGCCTGCCTGAGCCTTCCTGTTGGTCTCTATAAAATGGCTGTAATAATAATACTTGCTCCCCAGAGCTATGTTATTCAGAGTTAAAAAGGCTGCTTTCCAGAGATACAGTGCTCCATTTGTTCACCTGCCTGACCACCTTTCTTTGCACACCCATGTTGGATCCACACATCTACACACTCACCTACCTGTCCATCATTCATTCATCCATCACATCTATCCATACCTTGTGCCATAGGTGTGTCAAGTCATTGATCCTATTCTTCTTTAACCTGGAGGAGTTCCTGACTGGTTGAGGGAAGACAGAGGGTGACAATACAGTGTGATAAGCCCAAGGCAGTGGTGAGAACCAGATGGAAGAGAACTGGAGGCACGATGCCCCAGAAGATTTCTTGGGGAAGGTGTCATTGGAAGTGACCTTGAAGGATGGGTCAGATCCCAAGACACCTGGGTCTGGAGGAAACAGGCACCTGGAGGTTGGGGGTGTTCTTGACCCACGATGGACAGGACCTGGGTGCAAGGGCACCTGCCTGTCATCCCAGCAACTTGGAAGTCTAAAGCAGGAGGATTGTAAATTTGAGGCTAGCCTGGGCAACTTAGTGAGCCCCTGTCTCAAAAAATAAAAAGGGCAGGAGATATAGCTCAGTGGTAGAGCACTCGCCTAGTATGTGTGAGACCCAGCGTTCAATCCCCAGTACCAAAAGAAAAAAGCAACCAAGAAGGAAAAAAATAGCAATTTTGAAAAGCAGAGCTGGGCCAGGTAGGAGGAGCGGTCCAGCCCTGAGTGATACCTTATGTGGCCTCTAAGGATCAGTGTGGCCCAAGTCTCCGCTCATCCTCCAATTTGCCACCAGACTTGGGGCGAGTCACCTCACCTTCCAGTTCTCAGATACCTCTGCTGACAAAGAGCACAGGAGTGAATAGAGATAAGGATCTGTTATCTGAAAAGGGACAGAGATTTGAATTTTTTCCCCTTAATTCTCTCACCTACAGAAACTCATCCAAGAATGTTTACAGCAACTGGAGACCAAGAAGCAGCATCAAGTTGGCAACATCACCCAGATAGAAGATGCAGCCGAGAAGCTCAAGGCAAGTGGACGCTTCTTCCCTCTTCCAGTGGGGCTATCCACATTTCCCCTCAGACGTGAGTGTCCCCTAGTGTGGCATCAGGGGAAATAAAGACCAATCTTAAAGGGGCAGTCAGGGTGGGTGGGCCTGGAGCTGACGGACAAATTCAATGCAGAACCATGAAGTGGGCACGCAAGTGAGGGCCCTGAGACTGCCGCATCATCAGCCACGGGGAGAATCTGCCTGGGCCAGCGCCCCAGCCTTACCTCCTGCCACCGCCAAGGCGCCATCTTGTAGCAGCTGCTCTTCTCTCCTGGGGCTTCTAGACCCTCCACCTCCCACACCCCAAATTGCCTTAAATAGAGCAAAATGCAGTCTACTAGTTGGGCACAGTGGCATACGCCTGTAATCCCAGCGGCTTGGGAAGCTGAGGCCGGAGGATCATGAGTTCAAAGCCAGCTGCTCAGCAGCTTAGCAAGGCCCCAAGCAACTTAGTGAGACCCTGTCTCTAAATTTATAAAAAGGAGGGGGTGGTGCTGGGAGTGTGGCTGTGTGGTTAAGTGCCCGTGGGTACAATCCCAGTACCAATAAAAATTCAGCTCACTGAACATACAAATCTCTCTTAAGGTCTCTCTGCCATGAAGGAAATTAAATAAGGTATACCCATATTGTATAAATACATACTTCTTCAGGCTTTCCCTTTCATACAGTGTGTATTTTCTGTATCTATTTCCTTGTTTTTTAATTGGCTCTGGGGATTGTGCCCGGGGTGCTGCTCTCCCCTGAGCTACATCCCCAGCCTTTTTTATTCTTTTATTTTGAGGCAGGACTACACTCAGTTGCCCAGGCTGGCCTCAAACTTGTGACTGTCCTTCCTCAGCCCCCAGGTAGCTGGAATCCCAGGCCTGTGCCTCGGTGCCCAGCTGTACAATCTTTACGTAAATGGATTCTTTTGAGGGTTTGGGGCACAAAGTTGGGTCTGACACTGTGAGTTGCCACTTTGACTATGAAAAAGGGGTCGCCTCTTTAGGCGCCGTCTGTGAGAACTCAGGTGGGTCCTTGTCCCCCTGGGCCTCAGCCGCTGCCTCCTCACAGTGAGGGCTGGGATGGGGCATGCCCTACAGGGCCCCGCCTCACAGAGGCCTGGCCCCACTGACTGACCCACACAAGGCAGAGGGGAAGACTGGCTCTGACCGGGGGAGCCGCTGGCACCAGCTCTTCCCAAGCCAGGCCCACAGGAGCGTGGAGCAGGGCCTGGAAACCACAGCATGCTAAGGCCATGAAGAGACCTCCATCTTTGCCTGACCCCTGTTATCTGCCAGGTGTCTACATGCCCCAGTGTGAAGAGACCTTTGTGGCTCACACTTATGGCCTCTGTTTAATTATTAATGGTCTCCAAAAGCAGGACTCTGGGCTCAGGAAGGTACGACTGTTCAAAAGAACTTGGAAAATGAAAGTTAACAAGTTGGAAAGTACCTCCCTGCAGAGGGTGGGGGAGGCGCCCAGCTGTTCGTCCTGAAGAAGACAGCCAGGGTGCAGGTCCGCTGCCTGCAAATCCCTCAGCAGATACGGTTTGGGGGTCCCCAGGGAAAGACATAGGACCCTCGTGGAGGGCCTAAGGGCTGTGGTGGTTCCAGCAACTTTTTGATTTAAAATAATCATAGATCCAAAGGAAAGTGCAAAGCTAGTACACAGAAGTTTTGTGTACCTCCTCCTAGTTTGCCCCCAAGAATTGTGTACCTCTTACGTAGCTATAGTGTAATATCAGAATCAGAAAATATTTATGTCCATTTCCCTGGGCTGGCCTTGAACCCCTGAGCTCCTGCCTGGCCAACCTGTAGCTGGGGTTGCATGCTGCCAATGTCGGTGTTAAAGGCTGTATATTCCATTGTTTGTATATTCTATGATTCATTAAGCCATTTTCTGCATGTCGAACAGTTAGATTTTACCTGGTTTTCCCCTAGTGCAAAAACAGCAGTGCAGAGAACATATTTTGGCCCCTTGATTTGCCTCCTTTGGGACAGGATCCTAGAAGGGACACATTGCAATAGGCACAGCCTGTGTGAGAAACCTAAGGCATCCTGTGGAGTTGCGGCTGGTGTGGTTTGTGGCAGAGAGGTTGGGGCAACCACGCCTCCTGCAGTGGCAAATGAGGGGAAAGACCATTCACATGGAAACAGCCTTGTAAACAGATCAATAAAGTTTGTGCAAGGTCCAGAGTCTGTTGTACAGAAGCCAGTGACCAGGACTAATCACCCACTCCCTTTTTAGGGCACAATTGAGAAGGACTTGGTCATTAATCCCCAGTCAACACCCATTTATGATCACATCCTTGTTAATAGGCTTCCCCCATCATGGCACCTTAGGGGCCAATATATCCAGGTGCAGGGAAAATCTAACACCCGCCTGCAATCCTCTCTACTCAAATGGGAATAGATGACACTACATCTCTTCTATGTTCTTCCCGGTTTCTTCCAAATTTTCTTTTTTTTTTTTTTCTTTCAGTACTGATGATTGAACCCAGGGCTTTGTACATGCTAAACCAGTACTCTACCACTGAGCTACATCCCCAGTCCTTTTTTTTTTTTTTTTTAAGGAATTTTCCTTGGTTTTTTTTTTTTGAGAGAGAGAATTTTAATATTTATTTTTTAGTTTTCGGCGGACACAACATCTTTGTATGTGGTGCGGAGGATCGAACCCGGGCCGCATGCATGGCAGGCGAGCGCGCTACTGCTTGAGCCACATCCCCAGCCCCCCTAGTCCTTTTTTTTATTTTTAAATTTTGAGACAAGGCTGGCCTCAAATTTGTGATATTCCTGCCTCAGTCTCCCCAGTAGCTGGGATTAAAGATTATGCCACCACACCTAGCCATTTGGAATCTTCCAAATTTTCTGCAGTAAGCTTTTGATTCTTTTAAAAATTATAAGAAAGTGTGTGTGTGTGTGTGTGTGTGTTTAATTGATTACTATCAAATCCAGATATAGGCTAGGGATTTAGAATGTGCATAGGCTAGCTAGGCACAGTGGCACACATCTATAATACCAGCTGTTCAGGAGGCTGAGGCAGGAGGACGGCAAGTTTGAGCCCAGCCTGGGCAATTTAATAAGATCCTGTCTCAAAATAAAATATAAAAAGGGCTGGGATGTAGATCACTGGCAGAGCACTTGCATAGCATGTGTGAAGCCCAGAGTTCAACCCTCAGTACAGAATTTAAAAAAAAAAAAAGAAGAACTTAGGCTGTCAGAGCCAAAGGCCATTCTAGATGAGGCTCAAGGCTGGGTGTGGTGGCAGGAGCCTATTGTCCAGGCTACTCAGGAGGCTGAGATAGGAGGATCATTTGAGCCCAGGAGTCGGAAGCCAGCCTAGTCAACAAAACAAAAAGCTAGGAAATAATTTCTCACTGGTCACATGGCGAGGTGGGACCTGGGCTAGAGCTGCATCCACCACGTGTACCCAGACAGGAACCACTCTGAGGGGTCCCGCAGAGGGATGTCCCAGGGAACTATGGCTCAATCATGGAAGAGACCAAGAGGTCAACCAGAGGTCATGAGACACCCCAGCCCCTGGGCCAGTGTTAGCAGAGCACAGGGGCCAGGGCCCCAGGGCAGAAGCTAGAACCAGACCTGGCCTGCCCTGGGGGAGCTGGAGGACGAAAGGGACTCGGGGAGAGCCTGCCCTGGAGAAGGGGCGCTGGGGCAGCCCCCTTGCCTCACGCTCTGGTCTCCCTCTAGCTCCTCTCTCTATAACCAAACCGTGGAGGAGGATTTTGGAAATTCAGCCGGCAGGGCTCAGCCCTCTGCCCTACAGCACAAAGCAGAAAGTACCTGAGCAGGGTGCAGGGGTACTCGCCTGTCATCCCAGCAGCTCAGGAGGCTGAAGCAGGAGGATCACAAATGCAAAGCCAGCCTCAGAAACTTAGCGAGGCCCTAAGCAACTCAGTGAGACCCTGTCTCTAAATAAAATTTAAAAAAGGGCTGTGGATGTGGCTCAGTGGTTGAGAGCCGCTGGGTTCAATCCCAGTACCAAAAAAAAAAAAAAAAATGTGGACCTGAGACACACGGGCCCAGGCTGGCATGCGGCACAGTAACTGCTGGAGGCTGCACTCAGTAGCCTCAGATCCTACTCTGGGACCCACCAAAGCTGCAGGAATGGAATCAGAGCATGCAAGCAGGGGACCAAGGGGGTGACACGAGCCAGCCTTTGCCAGACTGGAAATGGAGAGACGAGGACCCTGTGAGGTCTTGCTGTTGATGTTGACGTCACTGGTCTCCCCTGTTGGCCCTGGCTACCCCTCCTCGGGACAGCCACAGCCACCATATCACAGTCCTGGGGGCCCCAAAGCTCATGTGGCCTGGGCAGGGTTGGAGAGCCTGGCTCCCTTCCCAGGTGGCACAGCCCAGGAGAGGTGGCCCGCAGGGCTGTCCAGTGTCACACTGAGTTTTCAGGAAGCTGCTCTTTGCATCCTCCTCACAGTCCCCTCACTCTCCATGGGACCCCAAGATGGATTCACAGAGTGGACAGCTCTCCATGGACAAAACCCCCCGCCCTTCCCTGACCCAGGGCTCCGTGGTGGGTCTCCCTCTTTCTCAGAATCCTAAGGCTCCTCTCAGCTGGACCCTGTCAGGCTCTTACCAGCCACACCCAGCTGTGTCCAAACCCCAGCCGGTTCCACCTGGGGTCCAGTTCCATTTTGAATCCCTGTGGCCCAAACCAGCACTTCCTTGTTTCATTATCAGCGCTGTCCTCCCCCTCCCCTCCTCTGTCTTAGCTGTGTTGTGTAACCAGCCCTAGCTGCTTAGACAGGAAGTCTTCTGCGGTTTTTTTTTTTTTTTTTTTTTTTGGCACTGGGGATTGAACTTGGACACTCAATCACTGAGCTCCATCCCCAGCCCTATTTTTTAATTTTATTTAGAGACAGAGTCTCACCGAGTTAACTTAGCTCCTTGCTTTTGCTGAGGCTGGCTTTCAACTCTTGATCCTCCTGCCTCAGCCTCCCTAGCTGCTGGGATTACAGGCATGCGCCACCTCACCCAGCTCTTCTGGTGTCTTTAATCGTTCCTCCTGCATTGGGTGTGGTGTCATGAAGCCTCTTCTGTGTATTGCTCTTGACTAAGGCACTGCTTGGCACAGCTTGGTTAGGAGGAGACACCTGCCTCTTGTTTATTTATTGCCTCCAGCCTGTTCATCTCTCCAGGGTTTGGAACACATTTTCTTTCCTTCCCTTGGTCATTCAGTGAAGATGTATTCATGTTTAGGTGCATGGACCTACCGCAACTTTGTTATCAGGGCCAGCAATGCAGACCAAGCCCCCGCCATCCTAAAGCCAATTGAATCCATGAGGTCTGTGGGATGAGCTAGCCCCAGAAGCCAAGCACCGCCTAAAGAACCGTAGAGGAAACCCAGCTGGGGAGCTCATCTCCTGGGTCTTGTCAAACCACACAGCAGTCCCACTAAGAAGAGAACATGGGGAGCCTGCCCCAAGCCCGGCCAGGTATAGGGGTCCTTCTGCTACGTGGATTACACAGATGTTTGGGCTGAGGAAAGGAGCTGGCCTGTGGTTTTGGAGTTTTTTTCCCAATTGATTTCTATTTTATTATTTCATAAGTGAAATAATAAAGTGAGAGCCTGTCATTCCTACCTCTCCAATCCCACCCCTCCTTCCAGACAGGACCTCTGCTAACATTTTCATTGCACTAGTAAACATACACAGGGAGGTGTCCTTATGCAGTGTTTGCTAGTGGGATTATTGTGCATATGTTATTTGGACACTTGCTCCTTGCCACCAAGCCAGGACACATAGCTCTACTGTGTTCTTCATGTATATATATTTTATGGTGGTAAAATATACGTAACATAAAATCAGCCAGTTTTAAGTGTTCATTCCTGGGTGGTAGTTACATTCACAAGGTTGTACAACATCACCCAAAATAGAAACTCTGAAACCATTGAACAGTCACTTCCCACTCCTCCTCCCCCAGCCCCTGGTAACCTCTACTCTGCTTCCTGTCTCTGTGTTGCCTATTCTAGGCATTTTGTGTAAATGCAATCATAACATTATTTGTTCTTTTGTGGCTGGTTTATTTCACTTAGGAAAATGTCTTGGAGGTTCATCCATGTGATAACATACGTGAGAACAATGCATTCTTTTTCATTATTATAAATTATTTCACCGTGTGAATGTAGCATAACTTATATAAGTAACATACATGCACGTCCCATATTGGAAACTGCACCCAACTCTTCTCTGGACTCCATGGATAATGCTATAGTGAGAATCACATGGTCGTGACGCTCATGTGAGCACATTTTGTAGGATCAGTTCCTATAAGGGGAAAAATGGTGTCTTTAGAGTAATGAATCTTCCCAATCAGGGATGTGGGGTTTTTTAAAATATTTTATTGATTTTTTTAAAAAAATAAATGACAGTGGGTGCATTACATTTCTTATTACACATACAGAGCACAATTTTTCGTATCTCTGGTTGGATATAAAGTATGTTCACACCAATTCATGTCTTCATGCATGCACTTTGGATGATGGTGTCCATCACATCCCACCATCATTGCTAGCCCCCTGCCCCTTCCCTTCCTTCCCACCCTCTGCCCTCTCTAGAGCTCGTCTTTTCCTCCCATGCTATGGTTTTTTTCCTTCCATGCAGTTGGAAGGTTTTTCTTTCAGTACAGTTTTATTCTTTTCTTTATCTAAGTGCTGGGAATCAAGCTCAGGGCCTTGCAGATAACTGGGCAAGTGCTCTGCCACTGAGCTCCACTCCCAGACCATTTCCATTTCTTTTAAGTTTATTTTTAGATATTTTGCTATTTTCTTCCTTACTTTAAAAAGCATCTTTATTAGCTGGACACAGTGGCGCACACCTGAAATCCCAGCAGCTCCAGAGGCTGAGGTGGGAGGATTGGGAGTTCAAGGCCAGCCTCAGCAGTGAGGCCCTAAGCCTCACAGCAAGACCCTGTCTCTAAACAAAATATAAAAAAGGGTTGGGGATGTGGCTCAGTGGTTAAGCACCACTGGGTTCAATACTCGGTCCCAAAGCAAGACAAAAAAGCATCTTTATTTCTCCATGCACTTTCCTATGGGTGCTGGCCAGTACTTACACAAGTTTTAATTATTATGAGTTGATCTTGTATCTGCCACTTTACTAAACTTAGTTTGTAGGCATTATAAGTTTTTTTTTTCAATATCAGTTATTTTGGAAATCTTGATTGGCAAACAACTTATCATCTGCAACTGGTTTTCTTTTTAGGTTCACGCAGAGTCAAGTAAAACCTGGCTGATGGACAAATTCACTGAACTCAGATTACTACTTGATGAAGAGGAAATGCTGGCCAAAAAATTCATTGATAAAAACCTGCAGGGGGCCCTCCAGGTGTACAGGGAGCAAGTGGAGTCTTGCAGGAAGCAGATTGACGTCATGGGCAGTCTCTCCAGCAGGGTCTGGGGTATCAGCCAGGAGCCCAACCCTGTTCAACTGCTGCAGGTAATGCTGGGGTCTCTGCTCGTGCTGCTGCCACATGCCACCCCATTCCACCTCGGCTGTTATGGCACACTGTTCCTGTAACATGTAAAGGGCATGGAGATCTGCTTGTCAGCATGTGGAATTTCTTGCTCGTGCACGAGTGTGCAGAGAGTGCATGTTGTCAGGAAGATGGTAGACATCTTGGACTAATTAAATAGTATCAGCAAACACCATCTTCGAGGGCTTTGGTGTTCTAAGCATTTTTTGTATCTCAGCTCTGATAGTTACTATAACTCTACAAAGTGGACTTCTCATCCCATTTTTGCAAATGAGAATTTGGGGCTCAGGGAGGTGAAGTGGGCTCACATAGCTGCCAGATGGCAGAGCTGGGATCATACCCAGATGTATCTTTTTTTTTTTTTTTTTTTTAAAGAGAGAGTGAGAGAGGAGAGAGAGAGAGAGAGAGAATTTTTTTTTTAATATTTATTTTTTAGTTCTCAGCGGACACAACATCTTTGTTGGTATGTGGTGCTGAGGATCGAACCCGGGTCGCACGCATGCCAGGCAAGCGCACTACCGCTTGAGCCACATCCCCAGCCCCCCCAGATGTATCTTAACCAATCCAATCCACAAGGCAGTGTTTTTTTTTTTGTTGTTGTTGTTGTTGTTTGATTTTTCTTTTACTATACTGGGGAATTGAACCCAGGGATGCTCTAACACTAAGCTACATCCCCAGCCCTTTTTAATATTTAGAAACAGGGTCTCCTGAGTTGCATGCATTGGCTGATCTGGAACTTGTGACCCTCCTGCCTCACCTCCGGAGTTGCTAGGAAGATAGGTGTGATCCACCACAACAGCTACTCAGCCCTTTTTTGTTTGTTTGTTTTGAGACAGTCATCCAGGTTGGCCTTGAACTTGCAATCCTTCTGCCTCAGCCTCCCAAGTAGTTGGGATTACAGGTGTGCACACCGTGCCTGGCTCTGCTTAGAGTGTTAAGACACCTCTCCTGAGGAGATTCTGGTATCGTAAAACACAGCTTCGGGGCTTTGGCATTGCTTTCTTCCATTTTCTTGTGCCACAGCTCCTAGTTTTGACCATTCGTCATCCCTCTCTCCTGTTCATTTGTTTATGTATTCCTCCAGTACACACTGAGCCGGGCCATCTGCAGAACGTGAGGAGCTCACAGTGGGGCAGAGAGACATGCTAAGAAACAGATGTATGCAAAGCAGCTCAAGCAAGTTAGCAAAAGTATGTCCAAGAAATGGTCTGACTCTCTATGGGGGTGGGGCCAGGTCAGGGAAGACTTCTAGGAGGAGGCCGCAGTAGAGGGGGGTGTGGGAAAATGAGTAGGTGTTTACAGAGGGACAATTCAGAGAGGACATCCGGGCAGGAAGGAAATATGGACCCATGAGAACCTGGCAGGCCGGAGAACTACCTGGGGTGGCCTGGCTTGAGGAGGGGCAGGTGTAAGGCAGGTGGTATTGAGAGATGGAGCTGGGTCAGGAGGTCAGGGTCAGTTCATGAAGGGCCTCATGTGCCAAGCCAGAAGTTTAGACTTTGTCCTGTAAAGAGATGGCAGCCAGGGGCGTGTTTGGAACTGAGGAATGAAAGCGTTGGCTTGGGCATGTTACTTAGGTGACAGGGTGGGAATGGACTGGGGTCCCTCCAAGGCCAGAGGCTGGGCGGGGTGCTGGAGGTGAGACCACGGGGGTCCAGGGGAGAAATGAAGGTGGCCGGGACCCAGGTAGGGGTAGTAGGGTGGGAAAGGCAGGTTCAGAGATGCAACAGGAGTGGAGTTTGGAGGAGGCGGGTGAGAATGGATCCAAGGTGGTACTTGGGTTTCCTGCTTGAGAAATGGCGGCTGGGTCCGGTGATTTTTCTCTGAGTCTACAAAGGCGCAAGTCAGATGTGCTCAGTTTCACTCATTTAAATCCATCATACGGATCTGTTGAGAATCTACTGTGTGTGTATCAGGTCCCATCAGACATGGGTGCTTGAGTTACCAGATGGTAGCGTTTTGTCCTCTATTGGGGACAAAACTGGGGAGCTCTACCCCACCTACATGCCCTTTGGGCCAGCCTCCCACCTTCTCGGGGCTGCTTCTGGCCACCCCTGGATTTTCTGCTTGTGTTCTGTCCCCTGGCCAGCTCTAAGTGGAACCTTAGCCCTGGTTCCCACCAAAATGAGTATGGACCCTTGCCTTCTTTGGCCAGGTGATACTGGAGGCCTCCCTCAGGCCCCTCCCAACACATAGGCTCCCGCCAGGTGGGGCACCCGTCCACCCAGGTCTTGTGGGGTAGCTCAGCCTGCCAGCCAAGGCCTGCTCACCTGGGGCCATCTCCCTCCTTGCCCAGGACCACCCTTTTGAAACCTGAGAATACAGGCTCGTAATCGTAGTATAGGAATATAACGGTTTAAAGCAAGGAAAGAGTTGATGAGCCAAGAGAGGTGGGGCGTGCCTGTGACCCCAGCTACTCCTAGGCTGAGGTAGGTCTTGAATCGCAAGTTCAAGACCAGCCTGAGCAACTTAATGAGACCCTATGTCAAGATAAAAGATAAAAAGGGCTGAGGATGTAGTTTGGTGGCACATGTCCCTGGGTTGGGTTGGGCCACAAAAACAACAACAGAGAGTTTATGAAGGAGTATGAGGTCACCCGCAGGACCTCCAGGAGGACCAGAGAGTCAGGAGGAAAGACCAGGCCATAGGGGTTTTTATGCTGGTGTAGACCCCACCATGGCTTCTGCTGGGCAAGACCTCAGGCCTCCAGCGCCACTGTCCCTGAGAGTCACATGCCACCATCATTACCTCCCCTTCACTTCCAAATCCTGGACTTGAGTTGGTGGGATCTCATCACAGGCCTGTGCCCTGGTGCAAAGAGGGCTGGGAAGGGGGAGTTTCCTGGCTTCCATTTAGCAAAGCCACATGGCTAAGGCGGCTGTGAGCTGGAAAACAGGACACATGCCCTCTGTGGTGGCCACAACCCCCACAGTCATCTCTCCAACTGAACCTTCCAGGGTCCTCCTGGGACATGGTCTCCTGCTCTGTCCTGTAGACAAGCCCCAAAATGGACTCTTCCTTCAGGAAGACTGGCCTCTTTTTCTGGGGCCCTGTGCCTGAGGCAGACCCCTGTTAAGTGTCTCCAGGCTGAAGCCTCATAGGGAGGGACCCCAGAGACGGAGAGCACCTAAGGCCAGGTAGTCACTGGCTCCTGCCTCTGTTCCTCAAAGCTAGCGTGGGGGAGGCCTCAGAGCACTGGGAAGGGAGGGAGGGAAACTCGGAGGGAGGGAAGGAGGGACTCCGCAGCACCAGCCCTGAAATGACCTCCGCATGCCTTCCACTCAGGCCCGCAGGCTGTCTGTGTGGCGCTGCTCTGGGGACACGGCCTGGGCTAGCCAGGGTGCTGGGGTAAGCTGGGGTCTGGTGCCTGGTCTGGGCTTGTTCCTGGGTGCCGCAAAGGAGGCTGGGATGCCGCCTGCAACCTCCAGCATCGCCCTGACCCCTGTGCCACCCACACAGGCCTACACAGCCACTGAGCAGGAGATGAAGCAGCACATGAGCCTCGGGGAGCTGAGCCACCCCGTGCCCCTGTCCTTCGAGCCCATCAAGAGTCTCTTTAAGGGCCTTGCGGAAGCCATGCAGAGTACGTTTCAGACACCACTAGACGTTCGCCTGAAGGAAAGTAAGTCACCATGTGACCAACTTTGAGTCCTTAACTCCCAAGTGCCCTGTCACCCAGAGACAACTGCAAGGGTTGCCACCCTAAATCGTGTCTCCCTCTCACACAGGCCCTTGTCTGGGCAGGCAAGGGCTCCTGGGCCTGGTGCCCAGCCCCCACTTATGACTCCGACATCTCCTCCTACCCTTCCCAAGATGGAGTCTGCCTGCCTCTCCCCAGCCACAGGGCTCTGCTCTGTCCCAACCATTCCTGCAACCCTGTCACCTCTCAGGTTTGCCCACTCTGGCCTCCCAGCAGGGTGGCCAGCCCTCACTCCTCTCCCCTTCTTCTCTGCGACCCAGGTCCTTCCTGGGGTGTTGATGAGATAGATTCAGGGCCTCACAAATGCCTGAAGGGCAGAGACCACTTTGGGTACAGCTCCAAGGTCCCCACAGGGCCTAGCACAAACCAGGTACTTTATTGGTCCTTTCCTGACTCCTTCAGTCACTCACCGCTATGATGCTTTGCTCAGAACGCTGACAGAACCCTACTATGTGGCAGGCCCAAAGGGCCCATGACATAGCCCGTGCTTTTGTAGTAAAAGAAGGAAGGTCCCATTTCCTGAAATGGGAAGGGGCCCTTAGAATTGGAGGGAAGGACTGTTTGGACCTACTGGGTGTGGGAGGTTTGAGCTACCATGTGCTGATCTCACACGGGTAATAGGATGGATGGTTCTAGAGTTCTAGAGGTTGGCCTCCCACAACCATCGCAGGCCATGAATGAGTGCCCTGAGAGCGATGGGTAGGCAGAGGTGCCTCTGAGGAGATGGTCTGAGGAGGTGGTGAACTCATCAAGGTGGCCCCCTGAATGCTCTTGAGGGGACAGCCTCCCACCCTTTTTCTCAGAACTGGATCCTTCCCAGGACTCAGCTCTAATGGTTTGGCATCAACCTCCACCTGGAGGCTGCCTCCCATCCCAGGGTGCTGCACTCAGTAGCTCATCTACTCTAGGGCTCTCCGTGGCCTGCCCCCCCCCCCAGCTGTTTGTGGTCCTGGAGCATCTGGGTCGCTGTGAATTTTACATTTCCTATTCCAGTTGTGTCTCCCAGGAGGGGAGAGTGTGCAAATCTTTTTTGTGTGTGGATCTGTGCTGCTCGAAGAGCTCTAGGCGATCATTTCTCACTCTTCATTTCAGACATCAACTGCCAGCTCTCAGGCTCCTCCAGCACCACACTTGGGACCCTGCTGAAAACAAGCCCCTCACCAGAGAGATCGCTCTTCTTAAAATGTAAGACCCCAAGAGTGGAGAGAGGGTGGAGGGGATGGGAAGGACAGGTGCAGGGGAGAAGAGCAATGCCCCCCCCCCCGTCTTCATTTAAAGAGACCCAACTTGGCTTTTTTTCAAGAACTTTTATTAGTAGTCTTTTAATACTAGATGTTCATTGTAGAAAAATTAGAAAACATAGGATATTACTGAAAATCTTTCCCCTATTTAACTAGTATGATTTGTCCTTTTACCTTTTTTTTTATTTTGCATAGCTAATGAACATATAATGATGTAACACGGTATCATACTATACACATTCTTTTATAGTCTGTGTTTTCATTTACTGATATATTGTGAATATCTCTGTTCCCTTAAAAATTAAGGGTAAGAGGCCGGGATGTAGCTCACAGGTAGTGTGTTTGCCTAGCATACAAAGGCCCCTGGGATTGATCCCCAGCACTGAAAGAAAAAAATAGTAGGAAGAAAATAATAGAGGCAAATCCTGCCAGGACGGGGGTGGGTAGGAGGAGAATAGAAGTTCAGTGGATTAGAGAAAGAGGAATGAACGGAAGGGAGGGGAGACAGGAAAAGGAAAGGCAGTGGAATGACTCTGACTACTTCCCTATGTACATATATGAATACACCAAAGTGACCCTCACTATCATGTACATCCACAAGACTGGGGTCCTAATTAGAATAAGATATAATTATATTGTATAGTTATATCAAAGTGGACTTTACTGTCATGTGTAACTAAAAAGAACATATAAAATTTTTAAAAAATTAAAAAAAAAAGAGACTGAGGCTATAGCTCAGTGGCAAAGTGCTTGCCTAGCATGTGTGAGGCACTAGGTTGGATCCTTAGCACAACATAAAAATGAGACAAAATAAAGGCATGCTGTCCATCTACAACTACCAAAAAAAAAATTAAAACAAATAAATAAATAAAAGAAAATTATAGAGGCAAATCTTGAAGAAAATCATAAAATAGAGGTGTACAAAGGAAAACAACTACCTCTCCCAGAAATAAATGCTGCTAATATTTTTATCTATTTTTTTCAGACATTACAAAACATACATATGTGGGTATTTTCAATTGGAAGCATATTCTTTCATATTTTATATTCTATTATATTCTTTTAACATAACAGTATAGCTTAAATACTTTTCTATTTCAATAATACATTATTATTCATGAATGGATCATATTTAACCATTCTCATATTGCTGAACATTTAGAGAGGTTTACATTTTCAATCCATTTTGTTCATTTTTGTTGAATTGATTAATGAGTGGATGAATATGCCTTAGCTTATTTTCTGATTATTTTTTAGGAATAATTTCTCCAAGAATTACTGAACATACATTTTTTCTTTCTTTCTCTATTTATTTTGGTACTGAGGATTGAACCTAGGGCATTTAATCATTGAACCACTTATCCAGCCCATTTTTATTTTTTATTCTGAGACAGGGTCTCACTAAGTTGCTTAAGGCCTCGCCAATTTGCCAAGGCTGATTTTGAACTTGTGATTTCTCCTGCCTCAGCCTCTGGAGCCGCTGGGGAGAAAATGAAATTTTAAAAATACACTATTTTCAGTAACATTTTCTTTAAAAGTAGGAATGAATCTAACAGTTGATATGTAAAACCTCTCCACAGAAAACTCTAAAAACATTACTAAAGAATTTAAAGACAGCTTAAATAAATGGAAGGATAGATCATGCTTATGCATCAAGATAGTGTTATTATCTGTACTACAAACTTGGTGACTTAACACAAATTTGGGGCTGGAGTTGTAGCTCAGTGGTAGAGCACTTGCTGGCATGCCAGCGGACATGGGTTCCATCCCCAGCAGTGTCCCCTACCCCAAATGCCTTAAGTTACCCACAGTGACTTAGGTCTGGGCCAGTGTTGGAGCCCAGATCAAAATCCCCCTCACCAGCAACCAGGCAAGTCTAAAATGGTCCCTACCTAACCCTTCAGGCCAGGATTTCAACCTGGGAGATTTGACTGTTATCTCAGGGGAAGGATCAGCAGGTGACTTGCTAAGCAACCAAAGGTATTTTTCCTCATTACAGTTCCGTAGGATGTAAGTGCAACAAAATCACTGGCAAAATCAAGGCTGGGCTTCTTTCTGGGGAAGACCCAGCCCCTTGCCTTTTTCCTGTCACTAGAGACTGCCTGAATTCCTTGGCTCATAGCCATTCTTTCCATCTTCAAAGTTAGCAAGTATCCATCTTTCTGCCCCTCCTGTGAGCACATCTCCGCCCAACTCTGCCTCCCTTTCGGCTTTAATTAATATGGGGCTGGGGTTGTGGCTCAGCCGTAGAGGGCTCGCCTAGCTCGTGCGAGGAGCTGGGTTCGATCCTCAGCAACACATAAAAATAAATAAAGATGTTGTGTCCAACTACAAGTAAAATAAATAGATAAATAACCAACCCAACTCCTGTAATTGACTACATTGGGCCCACCTAGGTGGAGCCCACTGACTTCTCCACCGCGCCCTGCAAAATGCTCTCTTTAGAGTATCTGATGTGGTAAAGTGTTCATCGATGTATCAGTAAATTTTTAAAATCAGATTACGTAAGAGCATGTGGAGTATGATACCAATATTAAGAAAAATTAAACGTCAAGTTAAGGACAGAAAAAGATTGGAAGGACACACACCCAGTGTTAACAGTGATAGGATTCTTTTAAATAAATTTTTAGAGACTGGCGGTAAATTCCAAGGTACAAAATTCAAACATTAAAAAGGACATATACGGTAAAATTATCTCTCCTTCCCCTTCCTCCAGCCGCCGAGGAAATTGGGGTAAAGGGTGGCTTTCCCTCGCGCCTTCGGCAATTGCCCTGCTCACCTGTGTGGCTTGGGGGCGTGTCCGGAGATGACCCCGCCCACCACGCGTATCCGTGTCCCCGCCCCCCACAGACGCGCGCACGCCCACGCTGGATCCGGACACGATGCACGCGCGCCTGCGCCTCTCCGCCGACGGCCTGACGGTGCGCAGCAGCCTGCTGGGCCGCCTGGGGCCGATTCCCGCGAGGCGCTTCGACGCGCTGTGGCAGGTGCTGGGTCGCGACTGCTTCGCCGCCGGCCGCCACTACTGGGAAGTGGACCTGCAGGAGGCGGGCTCCGGCTGGTGGGTGGGCGCCGCCTACCCCTCCCTGCGGCGCCGCGGGGCCTCGGCCGCTGCCCGCCTGGGCTGCAACCGCCAGTCCTGGTGCCTCAAGCGCTTCGACTTGGAATACTGGGCCTTCCACGATTGCCAGCGCAGTCGCCTGAGGCCCCGCGATGACCCCGACCGGCTGGGCGTCTTCCTGGACTACGAGGCCGGCGTCCTCGCCTTCTACGACGTGACGGGCGGCATGAGCCACCTGCACACCTTCCGCGCGGTCTTCCAGGAGCCGCTGTACCCGGCCCTGCGGCTCTGGGAAGGGGCCATCAGCATCCCCCGGCTTCCCTAGGGACCCACCGGGCAGTGAGCCCCAGGCGCGCTTGTCCCTGGCGTGACTGGTTTGCTTTCTAAGACCTTCTCCCGGGTCCAGCGCTCCCCCACCAGTGGGTTGTTTTGAACCTCTTCCCGGGCTAGTTTCAAACGTGTCCCCAACACTGCTGCTGCCCTTTCCCCCACCACCATGGCTTCCGCTACACTACTTTCAGTGCAGGTTTCTGAAGGGGACGTACCCGTACCCACAGGTGAGCTTCAGCATTCTGGCTTTGTCAGTGCAGTTGTGCTCAGCCAGAGAACCGTCTTCATACGGCGCCTAGACCCTCCTGGCACATAGTAAGCACACAGTAAATACCAGCCTGCGAGTCGCACAGCGGTGGCTCTTCTATTCCTTAAGTTTCTGTGATCTGTCTGCTCTCCACCTACTTCAGCTTGTCCACGTCACCTCCCTTCAGAGCAACTGCAAGGGCTTTTTACTTCCTGGTCTGAACCCTCTCTCATTTTCATCTTCTAAACCTAAAACTAGAGGGATCTGTCTAGAACTCCCAAGAACTACAAAAATGAAAAACAAAACTCACCTTCCCTTAGCATTCAAGGCTTTTCTAGTCTGCCCTCCTCGGCTTAGCCTCATGCAGGTCCTGTTGCTTTTTTCAAAGAGGCTCCAGTCGGAACTGTCAGTTCTGCCTCTGCCTCCCTACCCCACCCCCACCCCACCCCACATGGCGCAGGAAAAGCCTTTCTTCTCTTTGCCTGTCTCAGTCTTCTCAGTCCACAATAATCTCTCTTACTGTAAAGTCCACACATCTGGGACCTGTCTTTCCAGCTTGACTGGAAGCTTTCTAAGGGCAGCTGTGTCCTAAACCCACCCTGACCTGAAAAGTTTACAAAGTTCCTTTCCTCCCAGGCAATGAATGAATGACCAGCAGGCTGCTACCACTCACTCAGAATGGCCAAGCTGGGAGGACCTCATAGATCAACCTGACCTCATTGTACATTTGGGGAGACAGGTTCTGAAAGCAAGAGCTGCCTTAAGTTACCCACAGTAACTTAGGTTTGGGCTAGTCTTGGAGCCCAGATCTAAAACCCCCTCACCAGCAACCAGGCAAATCTAAAATGGTCCTTACCTAACCCTTCAGGCCAGGATTTCAACCTGGGAGATTTGACTGTTATCTCAGGGGAAAGATCAGCAGGTGACTTGCTAAGCAACCACAGGTATTTTTCCCAATTGTCTTAGGAGAAAAACTGGGATTTGGGTAGTTGTAGATATGCTCCACATAGATTGCTTAACTCAGATGTGACCAAGGAAACCCCCCAAACCCAGTTTTTTAAATAAAGTGACCAAGAGAAAAGGCCAAAGGGCCAGGCCCTTAGAGGCCAGCTCCTCCAGCAGAGAAAGGTGGCATCTTCCCAGGGCCCGTACCTGTTTTGGAGCTCAGCGTTCTGACCTGTCAGTTCCCTTGCTGGTTTTGAAGCTCTGATGGTGCTAAAGCGTATTCTCTCGCTTTTCATTTGGGGATGCAGTACCTGATCCCCTTGTGGTTTAAACAGACTGTATGCATTCATTAGTTTGAACCATATAAAACAGTCAAGTTCCAATGATTTGGGGCTTTAAAATGGTACTTTATATTGCAATATAAGTTTACTACAAGGCAGAAGGAATCAAAGTGCCTTCAGTTCTAACCAAATAATTGAATCTTCCACCTGAATAGATGACTAAGCACTGTGTTCTAGAAATCTTGAGTAAAGAGAAAACTGAAATAGGGAATGGCCCAAGGCTGAATTCTGACAGGCAGACAACATTCCTGACAGATGTGTACTTCACATTTCCACCCAACCCTGAAGACCAACATGTCTTCCCAGACCCACTGCTGCAGGGGCAAAGCCATGACAGCCCTCAGATTTGCCTTGCAACTCGCCTCATCTGAGCCTTATAGTGTGGAGGGCAGCAGTTAGTTACCCCATTTATACATGGCAAAAATAGGAGTTAGTTGCTCAAGGTCACAGAACTAGTGTTGGAGTATGGGGGTCTGGGCTCCTGTCCATCAGGATGTACTGTTCAGGGTGGATGCAGCTGGTCATCCAGCTCCTCTGTTGTTGAGCTGAATGTGATGCTTTGCTGTCACCTGGTTCTATGTGGGACCTGAATCTGCCTTTGGATTGCATTCTTTGGGTTGAGATGAGGCTTTCAACCTAGAGGGGACTTGTTTTGAGAGCTTGGGATTTAGGTAGCAGAGATAGAGGTGAACTATAAACAGGAGAACAGCTATGAGCCAAGGCCCATACTATGAGAAAACTGCAGCAGCAGCCCATAATCAACCACGTGATCTTGGACCATTTTACTTCCCATAGCCCTTTCTGTAAAAGGGGATAATGACCCGAACTACCAACAAGTCAAGGTTATGAAATTGCCTTAAAAATTGTGCAGTGCTACATCATGCTAGGATTTATTAGCACTTCCCCTGGGAATTTATTGTGCCCCTGCTGCAGTGCTGAGACACGTCAGGCCCAGCCACTATGTGGCAGCAGCGGGAGCCTCCTGGATACTCTCAGCACAGGAATGAAGCTTTCCTTGGGGTCCACATCCATAAGGGTGATCATGTGCCTTAATCTCTTCCAGAATTAAATTTGTAGAAATTTCCTTATTGATGTAGCAAATTTTATTCCCCTGTGGTTCTGAAGATCCAATCCAGATCCTCTCACAAATGCCAGGCAAGCACTCTACTGCTGAGCTACACCCCAGCCCAGTGGATATTTTTAAATGACAGCAATTTTCTAATGTGGTTTTAATAATGTATATTTTTTTCTTGGCCCTGAGGATCAAACCCAGGACCTGACACATGCTAGGCGAGTGTTTAACCACTGAGTTACAGTGGTTTTGTTTAATAAAATCTGAATTTTGTCACTTGCAACTGTGTTCTTCATTGGGAGCTCATGTTGCTTCAATCAAATATGTAGCATCCGGGCCTGGACAGGCCCTGGCTCACTTCCTGTCCCCTTCACAACCTACTTGTGGTCATCAGCTGGTCCTTGATTGAATATCTCCAGTGGTGGGGAGCCTACCCCTCCTGAAGTTAACTCACTAAGTTCTTGCTTCCATGGAAACAAACCCCAACTCCCAGCTGTTCCTACCCCAGATAATATTATGCAGCTTTTGATGTCTTTGTGACCATCCTTTATCCTTTAGCAACATGGAAGCCATTTGTGGTCACTTAACAGTTTTGGGAGATTTCAGGGACCCTCTTTTCCTATGGTATCTCTTCGATCTATGATTCCACTTTGTCAGTGACATCAGCTGGTGGGGGTGCAGCCTAGCAGAGGGCACACAGGTGGCACTGCAGAGCCCAGGCCTGGTATGCCAAGGCACCCTGTGTCCTGATGAGAATGCTGCATAAGAAGGGGAGTGAGCATGAGAGCAGGGGCCCAGGTCTGAGTCTGCCATGACCTGCCCAGCGGGGCAGACCTTTAAGCCTGTCCTTCTTTCCCATATGCCACTCCTGCTAATGCATTCCTCGGGCACACTATGGGCATTTTCCAAAACCTGTGCACATGGGTCCTCCCTCAGTCACTACACAGCCTGCAAGCCTGAACTACAGCGCCACCTCTTTTGGGAGGCTTCCCAACCAGTGCCCCTCTCCCACCATGCTCCTGTCTCAGCTCCCATGACTCTTGTCTACATCTTAGCAATTCTTACACATAGGGCACTGTCTGTTAAGGGGTGGGGAACTCTCAGGACTACATTGCTGCTTGTGGGTCTGCACATTCCGCTGGTAGGTGCTCAGGGATATCTTCTAGACCTGAGCTTCCCAATTGGAACTGGCTAGAGGTGTGCCCAGATGTTAATCCTTCAGCCCTCGGGTATCCTGGTAAAGCATGAAGTACCTTTTAAGCAGCTGTTACTGGTTGCTGGCAACCTCATACTAACCTGCATGTATCCACACATGCTGTCATTTTCTCTGCATGCTATGATGGAAGCATAGTCTCACCAGAGGCCCTTCTCCATTCTCTCCAACACATGATACAGCCAGGGAATTGAGTCTTTGTGACCTTAGAAGCTCTTCACTTCTCAGTTGCCATCAATTCCTCCCCTTTGGAGAATCTAGTTTGGGGTACCAGAACCACCTGGATCTTTCTGCCAATCCAGGCTGTCAGAACCTAGAGGTGACCCACTGCTCCTTGTCAGAAACAGCTTCCCAAATTCTCAGCTGCAGCCCAGGCCTTTCTCTCCTTTCCTTCCAGATCCAGGCCCTGGAACACCTCTTTTCTACCATATTATGTCTCTGCTGTGGGGGGAAAAGGCCATCAAATCATAAACTAGTTGTGTGTATGTATGTGTGTGTGTGTATATATGTTCAGTACTTGGGACTGAACCCAGGGCACTCTACCACTGAACTGCATCCCCACACCTTTTTATTTTGAGACAGGGTCTCACTAAAGTGCCAAGGCTGCTCCTACCTCAACCTCTGCAGTAGCTGCCACTGCACCTAGCAGAAACTGTTTACTCAACCTCTGCAGAAACACTAACCAGAAACTGATACTGTCACACTCAGTTCTTAGCAAATCAATTTGCAGTTTCACTTCAACCCAGGACTGACCTCACCCCACCATAGACCCAGCCCCCTCCAAACGTTGTTTTGGGACCAACAGGAGGAGGCCCCAGACTCACAAGTAAAGAAACTTCAAAAGGATAATTATATGTATTTGAAAGGAGATTCAAATACACTTTGAAATAAGAGTTATATAGTAAATAAGGTCAAATAAATATGAACAAAGATCACAAATTTGAAAAGATATTTGAAAAGGATTAATGTCAGTATTGGCTCAAAAGAACAAAGAAAAATATGACATTGAATCGCTGTAAAAGGTTCATGCTGTGCTACTTCAAGGAAGTAAAACAATGAGAATATAATACCTGGTTTTATGATTTATGTGACATAAAATTATTTTGTTGAATGTGGAAGGGCTGATCTCAGCATCACCCCAGATTTAAAAGTTACAAGCTCTGAGCCCCCTGCTGCCCATCCCTGCACACAGATCTGTTTTCTTCCCTTTGCACTTGTGCCCTCTGGTTTACTCACTGTGCTTTGGCTCTTGCACCTGCCTATCTGAGGGGCGGTTCTATAAGAAAGGACTGCGGCTGCTCACTGTTGTGTCCCCATACTCAGCAGAGCCCAACAGAGAGCAAGCCCTGGGGATTTGCTGAAAGAAGGAATGAGCGCTACTTCTGATTTGGCTCCACAGCCTCCAAGCCATACAGCTGGCCCACTAATGCCCACTGAGAAGTGGCAGCACAGCGATGGAACAGGAAGCAAGCAAGGGACACAGATGGCACAGAGCCTGACATGCAAGCACAGGCCTGACGCACAAGGGAGCCAGGTGCAATGACCTGTTGCACCCTAGTGGTGCTGATGGACCCGGGCTTGGTGCCAAGGCCTGTCTACACAGCACTGCAACCCCAACCCCTGATCCAGTTAGCAGTATCCACTATGTGCTAACCTCAACCTTGGAGTGGCAGGAAAACAGACCCTAAAGGAGATTGCATGACCCACCAATAGCATTTAACTTTTCAAACCCTGATTTGCATAAATTTGGACCAATAGCATTGACCTAAGTACTGTATAGATTCCTAGACAGCACACTCAAGCGGCAACCCCTCTCTACTGGGTCGCCTCATCTTCTATGAGTTGTTTCTATTTATACTCGAATGAATCCTACTCTTATACCCACTTATCCTTGTGGGTGCATTTCATTTACTAGACAAGAATCCAGAAAGAAGCTGGGTGTGGTGGCACATGCCTATAATCCCAGTGACTCAGGAGGCTAAGCAGGAGGATCCCAAGTTCAAAGCCAGCCTCAGCAACTTAGTGAGAACCTATATTTAAATTAAAAAAATAGAAAAGAGCTAGGGATGTGGCTCCATGGTTAAATAGCCCTGGGTTCAATCCCTGGTACCAAAATAAATAAAATAACCCAAAAAGAAGAAATTGGCAGTGAGTTGCTGGGGTCTACAGTGACACTGGAGGGTACAGTCCACCATTAGGAGCTGAGCTGCAACACGTCACTCAATGGCAGCGAAGAAGAAATGGGCTTTCTTGGCTGCAGAGGCCTGTAGCTTACGCAGACCACACCTGCCAGCAGAAGCAGAGTGACTCCAGCTGCACTTCTGTCTTATTTGCTCAGAGATGGGAGTGCTTTCCTCTGCCCACAAGATCTTCTGACCAATCCCTTCTCTGAGGCCAAGTGACCACCACATAACGCTGACTGGACCCCCAAGGGCAAGGAGAGGATAAGGGAAAAAGACAGCAGAGACAGCAGGAGGGTCTGGTAGGAAGTGAGATCTCAGGCCTTTAGGGTTTGCTCCGCAGAATGAGAACAAAGGCTCAAAGGAAGGGATAACACAGCAACACTCACCCTCTGAGTGGCCACAGAAACTGCAGGACATGTACTTGTCTTGGTCCCTCTGAGACAGCCAGCTTGAAGCAGAGAGTGCCTCATTTGCTCTTTTTATCTTTTTAACAGACCAGACCTGGGCTTGGCCCAGAAATGGCACCTGTGTAAGGGGAGTTGGGGGAGACCAGCACTCCTGCCCCACCTCACCCAACACCCTGCACAGTACAAGAGGCAGTTAAGACTTCAGAGAATGGCACTTTATTTTAAGACTTGATTTTTTTGCCATGATTTTCTACCGATTCTTCTAAGATGGTATCATCTTCTTCAATAGTGACCAGAACCTTCTTGCCCACCAGATTGAAGATGTCTTCAGGCAGATACCCTTTGGGCTCACTGACCTTCACAGTAAGCATGTCCAGTGTGAGAATGGTGCCTTCTGGAATTTTCACTTTGGCCACCACTGACTTGCCCAGCTGTGGAGAACATGAACTGAGTGTCAGATTCACCAAAAGAGCTCCTACACTGCATCACATCCAAGGTCCTGATCAGTCTCCACAGGCACCTTGGAAGCAAGGACTGTTGTCCTCACAGTGCCCACTCAGGTCCTCACCACTGTGGAGTGGCTTCACAGACTCAGAGGAGGCCCTTACAGTCTAGTGCAAGGAGAGGATGAAGCTATGGATAGAGCCAGATCTAATGCCCATCAGCTGGGGAGAAGAACATTCTAGTTTTCCTGAAAAATGGGGAAAAATGGCATCTGTATCTTTTATTTGTATGTTTGTTGTTTGCTGTACTGGGGATGGAACTCAGGCTAGACTCATTTTAACTTTTATTGAGACAAGTTCTCACTAAATTGCCAAGGCTGGCCTTGAATTTGCCATCCTTCTGCCTTGGCCCCTGCCTAATAACTGGGATTTATCAGTGCCTGCACCTTGTGAGATGACTGTCAAGATCAGTGATAATGTGAGGTGTGCTTGGGATGCAGAATGCTCTCAATACGTGAAAACTAGCCACTCTTGTCCTTACCCAGTTCAACATCTCACTGTAAACATGGAGAGTCTAAGGCCCCCGGGACAGCTGACTTGAGCAAGGATGCAGCCAGCCAGCATGAGAACCTGGAGGACACTGCTGATCAGGGACACACACCCAACTGCCACTTTGATAAAATAGGACTATGGTGGGGGGGTGAGGGGCTCACAAGTCAGGGAGGGTGACTGTCATCTGAATGACAGGAAAGGGGCTCCGTAGGAAGGAGCACAGGACAGGCAGGTGGGAGGAATGAAGGCTGCCTGGAGCCCGTGAGCAGCATTTCTGCTCTCCATTAATGCTTCAAAACGTTACTCCAGGCAAGGCCCCAAGACATCAATTCTGCTTGGAATTTAATTCCAGGAAAACATATCTGTCAACCGATGATTACCAAGCTATGCACCTCACTGTTTCACTGTTTGCTCAGGAGCCCAATCATGTGCTCAGCTGCTTCATTCCCATTCTGATTTCTGGTGGGCTGATCTCCCCTCTTCCTCTATAGGTTAGTTTGCTTCCTTTTATCATTCATTTCCTAGTATATGTGCACCTTTAGTTTGGGGGCAGCAGCAGGTAGGCCCTGCTAGAATAAAATGTGACGACTTTCACTATGCATGCCTGGCAGCCCTGAGAAGCCTGGCTCTACCCTGAGGCAGGAAGGTCCAGGCCATAGCTTCTAAGAAGCCCAGAGAGGGTCCTTGTGCCAGGAAGTGTGCTCAGCTTCACCATCCCATCAAGGCCAACACTGCTAAGGGATACCTGCACCATCTACCACCCGTGCATTCACCCCTGCCTCCCATGCTTAGAAATGCCACAGGCTTTCCTCTTCCACAGGACCCAGACTTGGCCCATCTCCTGGAGTCCTGCAGTACCAGAGCCACAGGCTTTAGGGACTTTCAGTGGAAGACTCTAATGTGATCTGACCAGAGAAATGGCCAGAGTTTCCCACTGTGTAGCACATTTCCCTTGTTGCTCATATGAGCCTGAAGGAGGTCAAGAGGGGTTGGGGCAGCATTCCTTTATCCTTCTATTGGTCTGTTCAGCTAGGGCTGGTAGTGACCCCACCTCTCAGGCACGTGTACTAGGTCCCCCACAGAATGGCAGAGCCAAGCAGAGCTGGGCAGCACCCACCTTCTCGTTGCAGGCCATCTCACAGGGCAGCAGCTGCTTGGTCGGGGAGCCCAGCGCCTTCTCCACAAGGCGCACGGATCGCACCAGCTCAGCCAGTTCTCCAGGCTCCAGCGAGGCCGAGTGGTCACTCCCCTTCCAGGTCTTGTCAAGAGTTATATGACGTTCCAACACCTTAGCCCCCAGAGCCACTGCGGCCACAGATATTGCTATGCCTGTCTCATGTCCAGAATATCCGATGGGGATATCAGGAAAGAGCTTCTGATATTCCTTTAAAATAGAAAAAGAAAAAAGGTCACCCACTGTGGTGCTTTGTGCATAGTCCCTGGAGTCAGGCAGATCTGGGATAAGACCCAGGTTAGCCACTTACTAGCTGCCAAGCCATGGGGGAGATACTAGGAGATGCTCTCAGCCTCTTTCCTGGGAATAATAATAGTACATGTCAGGGGTTGCTCTGAAGGCAGGAAACATATTGAAAATGCCCCAAAGCATTATTCTTATCATTAAGAATGCATTTTGGGGACTAGGGCTGTAGCTCAGTGGTAGAGCGCTTGCCTAGCATGTGTGAGGCACTGGTTTCGATCCTCAGCACCATATAAAAATTAATAAATAAATAAAGGCATTGTGTTCATCTACAACTAAAAGAGGTATTAAAAAGGAGTGCATTTTGTGGTACAGCCCTTGCAAGACTCTGGGCTCAATCCCCAGTACTACAACAATGCCAAGAAATGCATTTTAAGACAGTTCCGTCCTGCAAAAACCACAAGGAATAATACATGACTAAAACCGAATGCCTATGCTCATTCAGAACTCATCTGTCATATTTAATTAACCTACACTGCAGAAATCAAATGTGCTATATGCACAAATATCATCATCAATAATATATACAGTACGTTGGTAAAAATGCTAAATAATGAATCAGATATCTATAATTCACTAAACACAACAAGACATTCTAGGATGGGTAAGTCTTGTCAGTGAGGGTGACCAGAAAGCTTAAGTACAGTAGAAAGACTCAGGCAGGGTTTCATAAAAGATTAGGATAGCACCATATAAAAATAAATAAGACCAGGAAAGACCTGGAAAACCAGGCTTTGTGCAATGGAATGCAGGTCATGGAATACCTATATATCTAATGTCACAAACACACATACATATCCATTTCTAATTAGTTAAATTTCAGTTGCTAATAGAAACCTGATTTCACAGTTCTCTGGGAAGATGAGCACCTCATTTACAGTATGGTTCAGGCTGAGTATCCCTGAGACAATAAGAGATCAAGGATTAGGACTCAGCCCAAGCTCTGGTTCCACCTTGGCCCTAAGACTGGACTTTGTCATCTATAAAACAATTAAGTTGGAGTAGATAAAATCTTGGG